TTCTTTCTTGCATTCACAGTAAATTATGGTTAATGCATTGTGTGCACAAGACAGGCTTGTCAGGGTCATAGTGACCTTATCCGGATCCACTTGAATTTCTAAGTAAATTGTTGTCACTTGTATATGAACACTTAACGACTTATGATTGTTTACCTAAATTATGATTAAATTCACTAAATTTGCATTCATGTATGTGACGTTATACTTCCTGTGATAATAATCTTTTGAACAAATATGATTTATATCAAAACATGGCTTACCTTAGTGGGAAATGATATCAAAAAGAAACAATTTTCAAATTATGGCACCAGAATTTTGAGGGAATTAATAATTGTGTGATTTTTATCGTTGCAGAAGTCAAGGAAGAACTCGAAGAACTCATGGCAGATATCAAGAAAACCGCAAACAAAGTTCGTGGAAAATTAAAGGGTATGTGCAGTGATGTTTATTTCTGTTGCTGAATACGAGGAATGTTCTTCGGATAATAACGATAAGTAGCATTATCCTGAATCCCACTCAACTGATACATGAACTAATAATAACTCTCGATGCCTGCAGCTCACGTGCTTCAATGTTCTAAGGTTACGTCGGTTCTATTTTCACTAAATCTCTAAGCCGCTCACTTGCCAGACATTGCCTGCTTGCTACATATTATTGTTGGGCAAGCGATATTTGGCATGATATAGATGTGACGTCAAATTGTGATTATAGATTTTGACATTTACAGTTGCCTTGACACCCAGATAACAGGGACATGCCTGTTTTAATTAATCAAACTAAATCTTTACAGATTGTACATAATAAATTACAATTCTGCAAACAAACAAAAATATTATTAAAGGGCGGTGGTCGTCGCGCCACGTCCTGTTCGATATGGGACTCATAGCAAAGTACACAACGCGTGTAAAATATAATGTCTGTTTAGATGAAATTTGAAGACACGCTGCGTGACGACCTCCACCCTTTAAAATGGACCACTCAAGATTATTTTTCGTATAGGTATCTTTACTGTAAGTGTTAAATTATCGTGGTGATTAAGAGTGATTAATTTTCATGGTACTATAAAATGACTAATTTTAACTGGGTTTAAATTTCACTGATTTACCAATTCAGGCATATTCAGTGGGTTTTAAATTCATGGTTTTATCATTTAGATAATGTGTTCTGTGCTAAATTTGACATATTCTCTGGGTTTTAATTTAGCGCATTTACCAGTCAGCGAAAAGAAAAATTAAAACCCAGTGAATAATTACCCCCTTTACAGTAGGTCATAAATTAAGATATATTTTCAGTGTCTAGATAAAGAACTAATTATGAATTATGTGAAACGCCTTTAAAGGTCCCAGATATGGATGTCTGTGGTGTCAACAAATTGGACAGACAGTGGATGCATGTATGTGTACCAGACAAGAGTGTAATAATAGCATTATGTGTACCGGTACTCAAAAATGAGATAAAATTGTGTCATATTTGTGCATTTTTGTGTATTTTCAATATATTTTGAAATTATAGTTTATCCATCAAGGTTTTATATGAATGTTTTTGTGATGTTATTCCAATTATCCCTGTATACGTCGACTATTGTCACGTTTCACAAAATAATCCCATTTCAAAAAAGATTTTGAATGTCATATATACTGTCAATTTTTAGAAAGAATAAGGCTGATAAAGTAACCGTGTATAAAATAGGATGTGGCTGTCAAATGATTTAATAAATTATGTTTGGTGCAAATGGTGTGTCAAAATTTTCCTCACAATGACAAAAAAAATGATAATGAATTCCATATGGCCTCTATTTTCATTTTTCAATCCTTCACAATATGGTTGTTTCAATGCATCATTCAGCATTTATACAAAGGCAAATTGTCACATGTGTACATTGTGCTTGTTAATTTAATCCAAATCAGTAAAACAAGCGTCATTCTTTGTTAGATACACTAGATACACTGCAAATTTTGATTGATTTGTTTCAAATTGCAAAAAGACAAAAAAAAAATATTGAGCAGCCTCTAGAGGGCACTCTGCATATAATGATAGAATATTCTTCTGTAAAAAGCTATGTTAAATAAGCTGGATTTATTTTTGTTTGCGAGTATTTCGCTGATAAGCTGAATGATAAATTAAACCCAGTGCAAATAAAAATTTAGGAGTTTATTGTTCTTTCCACAATTTTATGTACATTATCATCAATTTAGAGTCTACATGATGTACATGTACATAACGTATAAAAAATAATAATAAATATGATGTCCATATTGTTCTAATAAAAATCAAAAACAAAAATAGAAAACGGGAATTATTTTGGTTCCCAAACATTCAAACATGTGGATTTTTCTCTTAAATTAACAAAATTTGCTGGAAGTCTGCTGGATTCAGTTGGTACTATGAGTTACATGTATGGAAAACGAATAAATGTTATTGACCTTTTTATATAGGACACCCATAACTTTGAAGAAAACCTGGTTAAATATAAAGGAATAAGTAATATTGTGTGTAGTTGTAGTTTGTGCTGTTAATTTTAGAGTTAGTAATGTTAATGTTAATTTCAACTGTTGCTATGGTTATAGAATTTTTCTAGATTTTATAATGATTGTTGTAACTACTGTTTATTTGTAGTTATTGAAAGCGGTATAGAACAGGAAGATATAAAGTCATCTGCAGATATTAGAATAAGAAAAACGCAGGTAAGGAATGTTCCTATGATTACTAATTAAGACTTAAAAAAAAAAATGTGTGAGCCACAGCTTTTTTGTGAAGAAGAATTTTAGAAAAGAAAAAAAAAATGAAAATTAATTATCTTGAAAATCAAAGTAAAAGCTTATGCTCAGTTATTATTTCCCGCCAAATATGCTAATTTCCCACCAAATATGCTAATTTCCCACCAAATATGCTAATTTTCCACCAAATATGCTAATTTCCCACCAAATATGCTAATTTCCCACCAAATATGCTAATTTCCCACCAAATATGCTAATTTTAGCCAGAAAGGTCTTATATCTGCTGATAAATACATTTTGCTTGCGTTTATAACTTCTAAACACTGAACTGGCATCAAGTAACAAGTTTACTGTGGATATTTTTCAAAGAATTCTTTTTTTGTCTCACTGTGTTCTTTATCAAAAATAAAACTGAGGTAATAATAGAACACGGTACAGCATGTGAAAGAGTTCAAATTTTAAATCCAAACTGCGTTACCATGCTTCAATTTATGGTGATTTGATGTAAATTTAAATGACCCTTAATGCTTGAACAAAGTCTTTAAAAAATTAGTTCAACTATTCAACAGTTATAAATACATCTGTCAATATTTAATTTAATTTAATTTTTGTTTGTTCAAATTGAACTTCTTAATGAATCACATGATGCAATGCTTTAGTGACATCAGTTGAAAAAAAAAAGCTGTATTCTCTAAAATCTAGTTTGAAAACTTTCATTATTTCGAATTGACAATAGTTTGACCCCAAAAGGTCACACATCCTGGCATTTTTCATGACCTCAAAAGATCACACATTCTAGCATTTTGCATGACTTCTAAAATTCACACATCTTGGTAATGTCTTGGATATATTGTCTGAAAATTGGACTTTTGTCATTTTTAATCTGCTTTTGATTTCCATTGTCAACTACTTACATTTTTGGGAGGGGGAGGGGGCGTCATAATCAAGAAATTCTCATTGATTGTAAATTTTTCTATTTCCCCTTCCCTGAAAGTACCAGGATGTGTGACCTTTTAGGGTCACGATGTCCTATAATAAAACACACAAAACCCAATTTCCTGTAGCTTTTTGGTACATTCATATTTGACCCTATCAATCGTGAGTGTAAATGTACATTTCAGTGTGCCATCTGCTTGTTGCCATCTCACAGAGAAACGTGTGTTGCCATGTGTTGCCATGTGTTGCCATGTGTTGCCATGTGTTGCCATGTAATCTATTTAATCCTGACAAATATGTCATTGATGGTTTTTGATTTCATTTAAGTGGCATTAGAAATAATTCTTTCTCATCAATGTTTACTCTAGATTTCTAAAAAAGTCATTATTTAAACTTTTATACCCATCAACATTTTGTTCCACTTTGTTGTATTTTGTTTTGTTGTTAGACCAAATAAAAACAATTCTTGATCAGAATTTTTGAAAAATATGAATAAAATAATAAAATATGAATAAAATTATGCAGGTTTATTTTGTGACTGGTAACATGGTGATGGATTTGTTGAAATACGTCAAAAGGAGTCTCTAGAAATCTACAATTAAATGAATACATACATAAAACACAGTTCAGTTTGTGTATAACATGCTTAACTTGTTCCAACTCTTGCAATAACCTATAATCATTTTTAATCTTCATAACAACGAAAATATTACAGCAGGACCTTTAAAACTCATGAATGTGGCCTATTAATAAGCCATAAATATAGATTACTGTGAAATACTTTATTTTCGCTTGGAATTAATTTTCGCCATTTTCGCTGAAGGGATGGTTTAGTGAAAATAAAATCCAGTGAATATACCATTTTACCTATATTTCACATTCAACTAGTCAAAAATCAGTGAAAATAAATTCCATACAAAACACCTAAAACATCTTTTCAGCGAAAATTAATTCCAGCTAAAATAAAGTACTTTACAGTTATCCCCAATGTTTTGTTATATACAGTACAAGTACTGTAAACCTCTTATTGGCTGCTCGGCATCAGTAAGACCCAGAGAAATTTTAACTGCATTTTGTGATTTCACTGACTTGCAAATATTTGTCTCTTGGGAAATTACAGCATATATGATGAGAACTGAATTTATATGAAAGATCATAATGAGGAATTTGTTAACTAATTATCAATAACTTAGAGAGTCAATTTAAGATGTGGTGAAAATATATAGAGGGCGCTGTTCAAAACAATCTGGCATATTGATAGGAGTTTGTGCAGAGCAATGCGAGAAGTAGAAAAGAGATTTTTTTTGGCAGATGCATTATAAATGTTTTTTTTGAATTCCTGTCTCATAGCATTCCACACTCTCACGTAAATTTGTGGAAGTAATGACAGAATATAATGGCACACAAACAGAATATAGAGAAAGGTGTAAAGGACGCATACAGAGACAACTGGAAATAAGTGAGTAGTAACCTTCTCACCCCTTGTAACTGAAGACATTTGGTATGACCCTGTTGGAATCGCCATTGATGGCTGTTCCACTACTGCAATGTGTGGGGGGGGGGGGGGCATTGTGTGATTTGGTGGCAGGATATTCTAAAAAATTATTTACAAGGAAAATTACAGAAAAAAAAGGTTTGATGAAAGAAACACATTTTTGTTCCTACCTTTTACAAGTTTGTAAATTCTGATACTCAACCACCTCAATTTGATTTTCAGTGTCAATGTTGTGTAACAGTTGGTTTTATATACTGCCCTCTAGTGGTGATGCTAAGATTGCTTCTTCTCTGCATTGGCTGTACCATCAACTATGATATGAGAACCAAGCCTTTAAAATTCAATTTATTTTTTACCTATTGCTTTGTATATTTAAAATTTAGTAAATAAATAATACAATTGACTCCCATATGTTTACATGCACGTTTCCTTTTAGCATAGGGCCCATGTTTAATGTACACAGTCACAGTGATCACTGCGGTTTAATTCAGTGAAGAAAAATTATTCGTTAGATTTGTGACTGCTGTACTAAATAACCATTGTTCTTGTTATTATTTTTTTTGTTATTACAATTTATGAACTTTCCATTTTATTTACAGCTGGTAAAACTACAACAAATGATGAACTCGAGGATATGCTGGAAAGTGGTAACCCAGCGATCTTTACATCTGGGGTAAGAAGTGTTTGCATGTGCCGCAGACTTTGAACGCTTTTATATAACCATTGCAACCTCACCTATAATGGCATTTTTTTTACATGTATTCAGCATAACTAGCCATCATGATGATTTCCAAAATTGGTTATTACATATTTTGTACACTGTAAAATCATTTATTGCCACTGTCATTTAATTTCACTACTGTCAAATACTATATTTTAGCTGGAATTAATTTTCGCTGAAAAGGCTTTTCGAGTGTTTTGTATGGAATTTATTTTAACTGATTTTTGATGAGTTGAATGTGAAATATAAGAAAAAAAGGGATATTCGCTGGATTTTATTTTCACTGAATCATTCCTTCAGTGAAAATAGCAAAAATAAAGTATTCTACAGTATTTTGGTATTTTTTACATATTCGCTGAATTTAAGTTCACACTATATCGGTGAAACAATGAGTTATTTTATATTGTTATTTTACATGTATGTTGAGACCACTAATCAAGTCCAGTACCCTGCTACAAAATTGTCACATGTATTGTAAGAAAAAAAATGAAAAAGTTAGTGAAAATGTTAAAATAGAATATCGTCATTTCATGACTTTAAAGCAGTTGTCATCCCGTGACGATATTCGATGTTCGATATAGAACCGACATCGACGTAAACAATATGTGAGAACTACATGAAATTTGAATACAGCGTAATGCCGCGACTGTAGCAATTTCTATTGAATGCCACCATTATTCGATTTTGCGCTAACTTATCAAGAGATTTTTGCTATTGTTTTTAATATGCATATGTTTCTTAACAGATCATAATGGACACGCAGCAAGCTAAGCAAGCACTTGGAGACATTGAAGCTCGACATAACGACATTATCAAATTAGAAAACAGCATCCGAGAACTCCACGATATGTTTATGGATATGGCGATGCTCGTCGAACAACAAGTACGTAAGATGTTTTGACGTTATTTGTCCCGCCAATAGCTGGGGTGGCGAGGAACATACCTTGTGACTGATTTTTGTGAACCAAGCATCATTCAGTGGGTTGATTCTGGTTAGAGTGTGCCACCTAGTGGCAGAATCTGGTAAAAGCGACCCATCTTGTGGCAGACTCTAGTGAAAGAGCGCCACCTAGTGGCATAATCTGGTGAAAGTGTGCCACCTAGTGGCAACACCTGGTATAAACTGCGCCATCTATGACAGAATCTCAAATTAACTATTTTTAGTGTAAAAGGGGCATCTGCAGTAGGAAATGGAATGTATGGAATGAAACACGTTTAGTTTATTTTGTGGTACTGTTCAAAAATTGTTGAAACTTGAATTTGGATAAATTTTTAAATCTTATTGATAAATGGGGAGTTTTACCGGATTGTTTTTTCAAAAATACAGCTCTATGGCAACTAATATGATAAGAGTCTGTCAGTTTTGTCGTTGTTATCATTGTTTGTCATTCATTTTGATTAATAGGGAGAGATGATAGATAGGATTGAATATAATGTTGAACAATCTGTGGATTATGTTGAGACGGCCAAGATGGACACAAAGAAAGCGGTCAAATACCAAAGTAAAGCAAGAAGGGTAAGTCAAAATGTTGCATTCTGGGTAGTATTATAGATTTTTGGGATCAATTGATAGGTCAAAATTCAAGTGGTTTCATTTTAAATCGGTTGAATTGACTCATTTCTGCAGTCACAAACTAGTTCTGCAATCAAGACCTTTTATAAATTGGTCTAATCTGTATAGCCTTATGTCATATTTTCAATGACCAGTTCAGGAGACCTCACGATTCCACATTTTCTACAGTGTGTTTTCACAATTTTTGCTGTGTATTTTGTAATTACAAAACATGTTACATGTTCAGCAAATATAGTCTTGTAATGTGACATAACATCCTTGATCCATTTCCATGATTCATGGTGTTGCCGGATGGTTTACACATGTACATATCATCTTTCTGTCCAAGTGCTGACACATCAAACGCGCAATATTTTCCATAACCATGTTTTGAACATTGTTGCTTTGCTACAATAAATGTTTGCCCACGTAACTGTTGAGATATTGCACATATAGATTGTATGTTGAATGTGCTGATTGTTGTGAGTTTGTTGAGTATGATTTTCATATTATTAGGCGAGAGACCAGCACAGCCAGTCAGCATCTATACCATCGTGTTGGGAGACGTTAACAGTCGAGTTATGACTGTTGGTGTGTTAAAGCTGGATGGTCGTCACCTGTACACACACGGGAATTGAGTCCCAAGCGACGATAACAACACACGCTGTAGACACTTGTTTTTTAAACAATGACACGCTACGGCCATCTGACGCATGCGCAGGTGACGACTCTCTCGCTTTAAGCAATGTTGGAAACTGCTGTTGGCATGTTGATGTTGGTCAACATTTTTAAAGTAACCATGTTCATCAACATCAACTGTACTTGCATAACAATACTATGTATTCTGTAGAGAATGATCAAGCGTCAATATACGATTCAAAACTGCCTGCACTCAGCACTGTCTGCTATATATATATTATGCGCACTGTCTTTCTTACTAATGAATGTGCTTTTCTGGTGGCAACATTGGGGTTTCAAGCAATCGCAAATCACTATCGTAATTCACTGCCATAACTGTGGAATTCTGACTCCTACACCTATGCTACACTTAAGCATGGAAACCTTTGTCCTCTTCTTATCATTGCTCAATCCTCTGTCAAAGACAACATGAATATTCATGAACAATCGCTATGACTACCCGAGGTGATGCTTACTACAAGATGGGAAACGCGATCGCTGTTTGTTAGTATAAATCAAGCTGTAGAAAAATAACAAAAGGTCACGTGGCATGGCGTGGATATATTTTTCAGTCCTGTAACCAGAATCACAACCAGTAGTGTTTTACAAACAGAGAAAATTGCAGAGAGAAGACGTTAACTTTATGTTTCATTTGTACAATTTTATTTTTTATAATTTGATACAAAATGGTCAGTATTAAAATGTATTTACAATTAATATAAATTTTAATCCCTGTGATATCTCCTAGCGTTACGCTCTGATGTAAAGTCACAGCGTTCATGTTATACCTTTCTCAACTTTTTACCATCAGTATTCGTGTTACAATTTTTTCTTTCTTCCTCAAATAAAAGTGCTCCCTGTGACGTGTGTATTTTTTTTTAAATTGCATTTTGTGATACTAGTACTAAGGTTTCTTGGTGTTTTGGCGCAAATATTTGACATGTTTGACAATACAAATATGTGCTCGAATATTAAAATGTACGAAGATTTGTCCAGATTTGCCTGAGTCTCAAATTATTTTGAACTGAACTGAAATGAATATTTGTGAAGACATGTAAAGGAACACATTGCAAAAGCATTTGAAAAAGAGTGTTGTGAACTATAATTTCGTGTGTAGAATTCAAAGCATCATTAAACCTAAGAGTACTGTCCCTAAATGCATCAATGTTCACAGTGCATGCATCTAAATAAAAATGGATTGACCACCAAAATCCTACCTACCTAATTGCTTTCTTTCCCTTTTTTTTCACTTTCTCTCATAATTCAATTATCAAGCATGTCCTACATTTCACTGCACTCATCATTACAGAGTTTGTCTTGTTTAAATATCTTGATGTTCAGTGTGCGTCTCTTTGTACAACTTCAGATCATCAGTTTGTAGTGATATTAGCTTCCATTATCATTATCAGATTTTGCATGATATTTTAGTCTGAGTACTTCATCAAAGGTGCCATTTTGTTATATGGATACCATGACTTGGCAAATAAATTTGAGATTTGAAATTCCAGTAAACATGATCCAGACGTTGTTAACATTTTCCCACCCAAATGTTGACTTTGGCATTCACAAATTTGTAACCTAAGTTGGTGATGTAATTAAATAAAATATTATAAAACTCGCTCTTGAAACTTGCAAATGATGTAAATAGTCTTGCATGAAGAAATGATGTTCAGTGTCCGCTTGTATATAAAGTGGAAATATTTGAGTTCGGTAACAAATTTGAAATATCTGCTTAAATATGATGAAAAATTCGTTCACTTTTCTCATTCCAATGAGCAAAAGTTTCAAAACTTAGTTTTTAGTTTCCATGACAACAGTCGTTGAGCATATTTATTTGAAATAATTTTATTTGTTCTATTTTCTTTTCTTTTTTTATCTGCAGAAAAAGTTTTTAATCGTGATATGCTGTATTATTCTCCTTGGTGTTATAGCTCTGATTATTGGTCTGAGCCTTGGCTTGAACTGATGTGGGCGGCCATCTTGTTTTAGTGTCCTAACAGTCCAGTGTACCTCTACCATTTCATTCCAGTCTTGGTATTTTTTTTTTTTATTTTCTTGTGCAACCCAAAATTAGTATTTTTTTTTTAAATATGTTGTTTACTTTGTTGTACCAGCAGAAAAAATGTAATTCTTGTGAATATTTTGTAATATCCTTTCTGAAATGGTCAAGCACTTGTGCTTTTGTGAAAAATTGCTTCAGGGATTCTTTGCACCTACTTCCTCTGAAGTTGTAGAAATTTCAAAGGAAATGGAGAAAAAGTTTCATTGACGCAAATGACTTTCAGCTTATATTTTGTTACATTCTTGTTGGTTCTAAATTTTGCATTCTGACATGTGATTTTCTCATCCAATCTGAAGTTTCCCTTTAAAGGAATATATAATTAGCATAAAATTATAATCAGACTATCCAATCACTGGAGCTGACATTTTATAGAATTACTTTGCCCTCTGACCTCTGACCTTGCATCACCCTCATTACATTACCTTTGACCTCTGAACTATTCAAAAAGTATCAAATGGTACCAATGTTTTGTTCATTTCAGAAAGGAATTCAGATAAAAAATGGCTAATTATTTGTGAATGTATTTTTTTTTACTGAAAGGATTTTTCATCCAGAGCAGGGTAGTTATAATTTCTGTTATTTTGGTTTCATTTATCTCTGATATGATAAATTGCTTCAAATCACATGACCATGATTCATTTCACCGTGAATGTGACAAACCTTTCATCGGTTGATCCTGATAGATTACCAGTATAATGAAAAAACTTAAACTTGAAATATTACAAAATTAAATTAAATTAAATTTACACCCTTGTAAGACATTTCATCAAAATCTGCTAGAAATATTGAAGTTTTGGTAAATTTTAATTTGAAATAAACAAACCTGGGATCACAAGGAATGTCTTACAATTTGGTGTTAGGGGTGATTTTCATTATTTTCTGATTTGACATAATTGTGTGAAAGCCACCATGAATCCCTGTTTTAAAGGCCCAGTTTTATATTGGAATCTAAACAGTGCTGTAAACTGTTCTCATCAATTTCTTGGAAAAACAACGTTTCATTAGATTATAGATAAAATTGAATAAATTTGACTAAATATTACAGCAGAAATTTGATGCCACAATACATGTGTTGAGATTTCGTCCACAAACCGAGAAACACATCGCCACTTTACAATCTTTTGACTGTTTTTCAACCACTCAAACCCGTCCATTCAAACTTTGTCCATATTTAGATGTCAGTCGAATCAACTGAACAAATCCAAGGCATAGTAATTTGAAGTAAATTATGAATAATGTCAGAAATTAATTATTTGTATTAGATATTATTTTTATAGAATAATCAGAGCATGTAAAGGTTCAGAAAATAGTTGTGTATATTTTTTTTTATCACAGCATTAGCATCTCTATATACTTTGGCCAGTATGTTCTATAAACGTAACTGTTATGTGTGCGTTTTTTATGGAACACATGGAGGTTTTTCACGCTATGTCACAAGCCCTTCCTGGATTAGATGTTTATGTTAAAGGGCGGTGTTCACCGCACCGTGTCGTCACGACAGTCTTGTTCGATATCAGATTCATAGGGACGTACACAATGTATGTAAAACACATTATTTGTTTACATGCTATTTTAAGACATGCTGTGTGATGATCATCGCCCCTTAATGTTTATGAGAAATCTTGAACTATAGATGCTATATCTGAGCAATAACATTCAGAATGACATAGATAGACCTTTGGCAGTTTTATTGCAACATCTGTCTTCTCGGATTGACCTATGATCCCCCTCCAGGTTTAAGAGGGCTAACGAGCATTACCGGTACATCCAGACATTGCAATTATAAAAAAAATTTTTTTAGTGAAATTAAGATTTAAGAATTTGATCAAAGGTTGATACAGACAATTTGCAGTGAACTGGAACCTGACCAGTACCATGAATGTGTATACAGAATATTTTGCTGTTTAGATGGAATTGTACACGTATGTGACTCACATGAAGTAACATGAAATAACAGGGTGTTGGATCATTAAATAAAGCAGTGATCACCAGACAATTCTGCTAGCTTCATTTTTTTTTTTTCAAAATATTATTTTATTAATAATAAATTAAAAGGCAATTTTAGTTTTGATGTTTGAAAAATATTAGTCACGATAGCTAGGTGAATTTATATTTTAAATATTAAAATGATGATAATTTTTTTTTTTTGTAAATAGAATTATGTCGAAACGTACGTGAAATGTTTCAAGAATTGTTGTATTCAGTGGCATAATTTTGATAATAA